ATCACAGCATTCTCTCTCTGTTAAAGAGGTTTAAAAATATGTTTTTTTAAAAAGATCTCTGTTTATTTCTGACACAGAAAAGTGGTATAATGTAGTGACTGGTACCCTGACTTGTGACAGAGGCCGTATGTAAGTCCTGCTTTTATTCTTCTGCATACCCTCTTTAACTGTTATGCTTAAGTATTAGAACATAAGAATGACCACACTGCATTAGACCAGAGGTTCCTCTAGCTCTTAATCCTGTCTTCCAAAAGTGGCCAGTGCCAGTTGTCCTAGAGGGAATGAACAGAACTGGTAATCGCCATGTCATCTATCTCCTGTCATCTGTTCCCACAACTATCTTATGATCTATCTCTTTCTTAATGATTCCCAACATTCTGTTTGCTTTGTTGACTCTCTCGGCATATTGAGTGTGTGTTATCAGAGAACTCTCCTCAGTCACTCTAACATCTCTTTCTTGAATAGTAACAGCTAATTTAGACTCATCGTTTTTTGTATATGGTTTGGATATTATTTTCCAATGTGCATTACATTGCATTCATCAACATTGAATTTCATCTGCCATTTTGTTGCCCAGTCACCCAGTTTTGTGAAATCCCTTTGTAGCTCCTTGCAGTCTGCTTTAGACTTAACTATCTTGGGTAGTTTTCTGCCATCTAAAATTTTTGCTTCCTTGCTGTTTGTCCCTTTTTCCTGATCATTTATTGATCATGCAGTTTGCACGCATGCAAATTCCAGCATCAGCACAGTGCTGTATTATTCCGAGCAGAAATTTACAGAAGTATATGGATGAAATCACAAAATGAAATAGATGTCTTAGACTTGGCTGCAGTACTGGACTCCGTGACTTTCAGCAAAATTCTGGTATTTGGTACCTCAAATACTATTACATTACCTCACTCTCCCTTTTCTCCCACTTTCTCAGTGCTACAGCTGTTTATTGCACATTGCTTCATATTATACCCTTGTAGTCAACAAAACTGTTTTTTCTTATAAAGTATTGCTGTGTTATCTTGTAGTAAATGTCCAAAACAAGATAGTTTATAATAGTTATTATTTACTATATGAGATAATATGGAAAGTGCTTAAATATGCTATTAGACACTAATTTTGTATTTTTATAAGGACTTGTCTTCACTTGGAAATTTACCAAAATTGCTATTCTGCAATAATTATTCCATCATAGTTCTTTTGGTGGAAGCGGCTCCCCATGCTACATCATTTTTAAAGATGTGTAAAAGCAGAAAAGTCCAAGGAATCATGTGCCCCGAGAAAAATAAAAAAAAGGTCTGAATACATTACATAATGTACTTAATCCTGTAAGGTACTGAACCCATAGGGAGTTGAAGGCACTCCACAGCTTACAGGCAGCACTCAGTAATATGGTCTGTCTAGAAAACGGGAATTCCATCACAGAGAAAGATTCTGAAATGAGTTTTCATTCTACGCCTGTCCAAAACCAAGGTCTTTTGAATTTCTTTTTAAATAAACAGGAGAGAGACACCCACCCCAGTAGTGTGGGCAATCACTTGGGTTACGTCTAATCTACATGCCTCCGTCGACGGAGGCATGTAGTCTAGACACACCCTTGGTATGAAATCCCATGTAGACAGTCTTCGTCCAGAATAAGTGTGTCCTCTTGGGTTTCTGCTAAAATATCTCAACTCTTATTTTGGTAAATTTTTAACTGTAAACAAGTCCAAAGAGTGTCAGAAGGACTAGCTAGTGATTACTGTTTTGTGGCATCATACTATATCATCATAAAATTGCTGGTAGGCATACTGGGGACAGTACTGACTTCAGTGGAGCTATAATAATTTACACTATCTGAGGATCTTCTCTATTAAAGGAAAGAATGTTATTAGTCTAATACCGATTTTACAGAGTATGGAATTAAAACTATGGGGGTGGGGAGTCCTGATTTCACCTGTATTTTGGTTCCTATCCCAAAGTTTCAAGGTCCTTTGTGAAAGATTTGTAGTCCTAATTGATCCCAGCAGCCTCAATCATCCTCTCTTCTGCTCCTCTACCCTGCTGCCAGTTTTCTCCTCAGACTCCCTTCCTACCAGGTTCAAATTGTTAGGCAGAGGCAAAATGCAATTATATTTTGCTTGGCACAAAGTATACTATCCTAGCTCTTCTACAGAGCTAGATCATTTGTGTATGAAATAGATATGTGTGTATTCTGCTCTAAATAAATGGCTCTGGTAAACAAAGGAGAATTCTGATAAACTGGTAAAATTTTATGGAGTATTCGAAAGATATTTATTGAAATAGTGTCTTGGGGACACAGACATTTTTCCCCCCTTAGCGTAGCCAAAATGTTATGTGTAACAGATGATCTCAACTCCTTATACTTGATTCAGATTACTATGATATTATATTCTTTTAAATAAAAAGGCTATAAAATAGCCACGTGGGAGTCACAAATTCAGAGCTGATGTGATTAGCTTATTTGTTCTAAGTTGTACAAGGAAATGGGAGTTTTTTTAAAGTGCAATAGGATTCTGCCTAAATTGTAGAGGTTGAAATACAGCTAAAATTTTTAAAGCACCCTATTTCCCCTGAGATCTTTTCACTGATCATTTGAAGTTTGGCTTTTCAGAATCATCTGAAATCAGGGGTTAAAAAGACTGTAAGGAGGGAAAAAGGTCCATTAACCTTTTCCCCCAAGTTTCAAAATGTGTTATATTCAAAACACAGATGCTCATTTAGGCATCTCAGGTGTAAAATGAATGCTTCTCAGTTTCTCTTGCTTTGTGGAAAATGCCAGTTGTATTGTCACCAAAATTATTTACAAAAGGTTTGAGCTTCTGTGGTCTTCTTTTGGGAAAACTTATTTTCTGAAAGTCTTGCAGTATATAACTTACAAAGCATGTCTTAGTCTCTAGAATCTATTGTAGATCTAAATAGATGAGAGTTTTAGTTGTAACTAGGGCTAAAATTCTCAAAAGCGGTTGTAGATGCTTTGATTTTGGATGTCCAACTTGAAACATCCTAATGGCTCAAAGCATTTCCAACGATGAGGACTCATTTTTTGAAAATCAGGAACTTTTCAGGAGTCTCAAATTGGGCACCCAAAGCACTCATCAATTTTGAAACTACTTGCCTACGATCTTTATAACTTACATGCTTTACATTTAAAATATATGTTTATTCTAAATTAACTTGAGAATATTGTTGCAACAAAAATTAAAATCACAGCTTGCTAAAGAGTTATGAATGATCTGTAGTGCTTTCATGTTACTTTCTGCTAAATATGAGCATGCCCATTATCACATGTATCCTGCTTTATATCTTTGAAATGTGACCATGATAATGTTGTTGCTTAAAAAAACAAAATACAGTAAAACTCCGATAGTCTAGCATCCAATTGTACAGCACTCCCGATAGTCCGGCATCAAAATGGCAAGAGCCTAGTGAGTGAGCTTCAGCAAAAAATGAGTCACAAGGCAGCAGCGGCAGCAGCAGCAGCTGAACTGAGTAAAACCGGACGGGACTGAGTCAGTCAGCCACTGGCATTGTGTGATGCTGGACAGTGCTTGTGCTATAATAAAAAGGGTTAAAACACTTTATATACAGTATATATACTGTATGTATATATATAAAACCATCTTATAGTACCTCATGATAGTCCGGCATATCCAGTAATCCGGCACCACCTAGGTCCCAAAGTTTCCGGATTATCGGAAGTCTACTGTATTTCATGAAATAATTTAATTTTCCTTTATGGTATAGAACTAGTTCAAATTAATTGCCGTATTCATTTATCGAGTGTTATCTCCTTATCTGCTTATTTGTAGATCCATGCAGGAG